ACCTTGATGTGTAGGGACACTTTGACTGTCTCTGACTGCCATTACTATGAATGGCAATTAGATTTATACATCCTTGTGCTTGGGAAAAAAAATATAAGACTGTTCTGTGAGACTTGCATCTGGCACACTCAGAGCTATTCAAGTGCAAGAACTTCTGGCATCTTAAGCTAAAAGCCTTACACACCCCAGCAGTGAATTTGGTGATTAAAGTTATTAAAGTTTGGTTACAAACTAGTTGCAGGGATTGGACCTTAGTGAATTTTGTAAAAGTGGTTCAGGTTTGAACACGACATCAGAGCCCCAAACACTTGATTTTTTAACTTTGGTAAAATGTGTACTCGCTTTTTAATGTTTTGGTTTGATCCATCTCTAATTAGCTGGATCAAATAGTGTGTAAGAAATCCTTTCTGAGCCTCACGGTGTATTTCACTGAACAAAAAGAGACTTGAGTCCAATTTGCCATTCTTATCTTCCTTGTTCCCTTTCTTGTGGCAAATGTTTTTGGTATGAGTTGCATGAATCTTTTAATTGGGACCTGCCTACAGTATGTGCAAACAGTGCTGAGACCTAGAGATCAGTGACCACTGACCCTTCCTCCATTCCTGCCATCATCTTGGTTTGGCTCTAAAACACCCCATTCAAAGGAAATATTTGTTTCTAGGACCACCATATGTTTTAAGAAAGGTTTATACCCCAGGGGTTCTGTATTAGATTGCAGCAGGTTACTTCATTAAATGAGCATATCAAATTTGATTGGAAGTTCTCATCAGCTTTCTGTTCCATTTAATTTTATTTTTATACAGATGAAGAAATTACTGTTACACCCATACCCACTGACAAGCCAACTACATTACTTCACATCTACTTTATAACCACATATAATTACATAACCTCTTGGTTTATTTTCTTCCAGAACTCATGGCTCCTCATAGAATCTGTTCTGTCTGATCTAAGAGGCAGATTTTGGCCTAAAAAATGGTTTTCAAGACATTTACACGGTTTGGGTTTTTTCCTATATTGAATATTCCACATTTATTAACTACAATTTGATTCAAGCAGAGAAGCAAGGGCTTCACTGATACAGTCTGAAGAGGCTGTGTTAGCAAAAGGAAAAGACAAGCCCAGCATCAAAATATTCTGCATAAATCTCATTATCGTGGGAGAGCTTCCATCTTTTCAGTCCCATGCTATAAAATCTCTCTTAGCACACTGTGTTCCCTCCACTTTGTTCCTCTTTCGTTACAGGCACCACAACCACTTTCCCATCTAAAATTTTCAGTCAACATTCCTCCCCAAACCCTCCTGTTCTTCACTGACTTCAGAAATAAAGCAGACAGTACTGCACAGTATTCTCACATCACTGTGTGAGGGCTACCTTGGATAAGAATGGGGCTGGCAGATTACATTCATGTCAGAGCACATAGCTGGGTAACTAAAAATAGATAGAATGAAAATTGGTATCTGGCAATTTTTGCAGGACCACAGTTTCATGCTAGTATAAATTCACTGAAATCAATTAAGGCAGAACACTACAAGGCTGAAGCATAACTGTGGTGAAATGGCCCCTAAGATTGTTTTTAACGCTCATCCCAAGTTGCATTCTTAAACACATATTCACAGACCACAGGGTCCATTTGTTATAATTTATCACAACACTAAAAAAATCTGGCATAAACATATTCTTTCATTCATGCCAGAAAACGCTATGCACCCCTTAGATCCCAGAGAAGGCACCAGGAAGAGCAGATGTTCACCCCTTCTCATCATCCGTCCCCGGTTTGGAAGCATTTTCATATATGATTTTATCAACTTTAAAAGTAATGATTCAGTCCTGGAGCCCTTCCTCCCATCAGTTTTATTTATTGAAGTGACTAGAGCTGCAGAGTCTGATAAAGAAAAGCTGCAATACCAGGCTCCTTGATTCTTATTTGCTTAGATAATGCAATCGCATATTGCAGAGTGCATGGAGAGAGACAACAAACTAGGGAATCCTATTTTCTGTCAAAAAAAAAAACCACTTCCACGTGGCTACGTGGCTGCTGCTGACAAACTGAAATAGCCGAGGCAGTTGATCACCAGCATTTCTCGTGCCCTTTTAGCCAGTGACAGAAATAGTGGTTGGGTTGGACCATGACTTTGTAGACTCACGGGGGTGGGCAGGGGTCTGCGGGGGTTCCAGCCCAACCTCCTGCTCAGAGCAGTGGAGCCTTGCCTGGCCGGTTTTGAGCAGCTCCAAGGATGGAGATGTCATGCCCTCCCTGGGCAACCTGTTCCACAGGTTGGCCACCTCCACTGTAAAAATATTTTCCTTTCACAAAGCCAGAATTTGCCATGTTCCAACTTGCGTCTGTTGCCTCTCCTCCAACACCCCGCCTCATCCCATTGTAGACTATTTTGTACAACACACAAACCCAACAGTTTCACTGAGCTCTGCTGAAGGACGCAATGGTGTGGGACCATTTAATGTATGGGTGTCGTGAAACAGATCACCTTCTCACCTCCCACAGCACTACAGAAATAAGGAAGAAACTACTTTGATATCCTCTACCAGAGAGGAAAGCCCCTAAAACTGGTGCCTGCAGTGACAGGACTGCCAAGGCATGGTTCTGGCAAGGGACCGGGCACAGTGGGGCTGTGGGGTAGCACCGCTCCTGCCCAGGGCAGTACCTGTCCTGCACACACATGGGACCACGCTGCTGCTCAGAGCAGTCAACCAGAAGCCACTTCTTGTCTACAGAGCAAGACGTATACTGCAGTGGCTGAGGGGAAAGCAATCCTGAGGGCAGACATTGATTCACGCTCACCCTGGATGGTTGTTCTTCACCTCAGCCTGTGCTGGACTGCATCAAGGTCCCGCACGCTAAAATCACACGCCTCATCAGGCTTTGCAAGGATTAAGCTGAGCCAGAGCTGAGCTACGCCAGAACACTGCCGTACGAAAGCAACACCAGCATATAGTTGAAATAATTTATTTACCACTAGAGCACCACAAAAACAGACATACAATGTGTTAAAATACAGAGTAATCGATCACCAGAGTACAACACAGCTGTCCTTTAAGTTCCTTTTTTTTTTTCTCCTTTAAACCATGCCAACCATACAATTGTATTGATGCTAAACACATAAAAAATGCTGTCCTACCCCACCCAGCTAAGTGCTAAGATTCCCCCTCAGCCCCAGTCAGCCCCTTGGGTCCAATCTTTCAAGGTGCTGAACATTTCCCACCACTTCTCAGGGACTTTGCTCAGACAGTGGCAATTACCTCGTGGTGATAAGGCCTCTGGCACAAAGTCCTTGAGCTGTTGCAGACCCACCTAAACATCATTTGAGGGGGATTTACATCAGACCTGAGCGGTGCTTAGGACTCACATTACCCCACTCTGTAGAGGGGAATTTCACCCATGAGTTCTGCACATTGTAGGATCAGGCCTAACATCCTTGGTAATTAAAGGGAAATACATGCCTAATAAACATACAAAAAAAATTGTAGGAGCTTTATAACAGAGTATTTCAAATACTATCAGTGCATTTTGAGGAAAAAAAAAAAGTAAAAAAACCCAACTATTCACTCTTGGGGTAATGACTTACAGAAATAAGGTTCTATACTTAAATTTAGAGAAAAATTCCAAACCCAAACCGAAATTTTCAGCTGCGTCCAGCGCATAGTGAGTATAGTTGGACAACTATTGCCATCTCCTATTCCACTTTTTCAAAGCTTCAAAACCAGTTTTGAGCTGCATTCCCATAGCAGAGAATTGCAGAAACATATTTAAGTTTTGTAAAATGTGTTCATCCTCGTCTCCTTTCCTGTCCAACAAAAATACAGTTCTCATACTGAACCTGATAAAACTAATTTTGCTGCCATATACAGCAAAATCCAGAGTATTTACTACCCTGAGGAGTTTCACTGAGTTCAGTGCATCTTCTCACTGGAGTAAGTCTGGCTCAAGCAAGTGTTAGCAGGACAGATTTTTCACTTGTTCATCTCAACTCACTAAATAAATCAGAAGTCTAACATACCTCCTCCTCTGCGCTGAGTCAACGGGTGGGATTAGATCATCTGTGGGGCTACATTTCCATCTAGGTAATAAGCACAGGCTCTACTGAAGTCCCGAGGAGCTGCGTGTGCAAGCTGCTGCTGCGGTACTTCAGTTTTGTATCAGTGTTCTGCTGAAGCCAAAGAAATTGCACTTCTTAAAACTGGAGCTGACAACATCAAGCTCAGGAGCGTCCTCCCGACACCACTCAGGTCAATGACAGAAAATGTCCTTCTTGTCCAAGCAGTATGTTTCTAACGTAGTTTTCCAGCTTTGCTGTGCAAAACCATTCATCATGTGAAAAGAACTGAATGCGCTTTCTTTGTGATTTTTTTTGCTAATTTAGGTTGGGGCTTTTTTTAAATGAAGTACGTGACGTGGAATTTCTTTTTTACTCCCTCTATAATATTTAAACATGTCTAACAACAACAAAATCCTAGGAACCCCACATTGCTTTTTCCTTTTCTTTTTTTTGAAAAGAAGCTTTAACGTGAACAAAATTGAAAAAAATTTGGCAAACTCGCAAAGATCACGGGTCTGATCCTGCATATCCTTACACACACACCGATAGCCGAAAGGGGCCTGCTGCGCCACTGCAGAAGTTAAAGGCAAACCTCTGTTACCTGCAGTAGGAGCAGGATCGGTCCCAGGGACTAACTGCAGGGGCAAGACCCTGCGGCTTGCCGGGCCGGCGCACGGCCTCTGACGGCAAACCGATGCCGCTCACGCCGCATTTGGGGCATTGCCGCAGCAGGTGCTTCCTACCAGCCTTCTGCACAGTGGTGAATGTCATTCTCTGCAAGGGTTTGCCTCGCCTCAGCCAGGCTGCGATATCTCTTCTTGCAACACCTTGCTCCCTGCCCATCTGTTTGAATGTCTGTAGCCGAAAGGAAATAAAAAGGTCTAGGAATCCGAACCGCATCACGATTCAAGCGTTACAAACGGGGACAACTGAGGAGGAAGGGGGGGGTTGGGGGGAGAGATCGCTTTAATCCATCCTTTTTATAAAACAGAAAAACAAATGGAGTCAGGTAGCTTATGTCATAATGATGAACAATATACAAAGCACATGTATAGCAATTATTATAAAACATGTATTTGTAGTGCAAGTCAAAATATAGGGACTCTACTCATACTGGCCAGCTAGAGGGAAACACATGATTCTGAGTGATCAAAAAGAGCCCCAAATTCAAATTCAAACTCATGAGAGCTGACAGTATTACAGAGTACAAAAATATGGTGAAAATTTACACATTACACATAAAGTACTTAATTTTTTAATAGTTTACAAATAGAGATCTACAGATATGTTTCCAATTAAGCTGGCTTTTACTACCCACCTATTGTAATACTCTAGGTATGGTTACATATACCAAAAGAACAAAAAAATCCCATAGCATAGCTATACAGCAACATATTAAGGTCTGAAGATTAGACCAGTACATGTTAAATATTTCACTGGTTTACTAAACTGACATTTTAAATCATTTACAGAAAAAAAAAAAAAAAAAAAAAAAATCTTATAGACTTGTCTTTGAGACTGAAACAGAGTGTCCTTTATTAGTAAATTATTCAGTACTTAAAACAAGGGTTTGAGACCTTACAAGAAGCCTCTCTAGGCAGCTGGCATGAAAAATAAGGTATTTTAAAGGCAGAGTTTCTCAATAATGTAATAACTGATTTCTATTTTAATCAAACTAAACTAACCATTACTTTTCTGATTCTTTTGAGCTTGTATTCCTTTAGGCTTTATATGTATTTCTGGCAGCTTATTTGGTCTCCACTTTGTCCACATTGGCTCGTTTTCTTTTTTTCCAATGGCGATATGGAAACGTTCATTTGATAGTTTTTACACACAAATAAATAATGCACTGTTAACTCTACAACTAAGAGGAATGGGTAGGATGCCTATTGCGTAACAATACAGAGAGATCAAGTAAGGCACGGGACAGATACAGCAACTCCACTTCATGGGATTTTCCTGTTTTTTTCCTTTCACATAGTAACACTAACAAATTTCTTCCAGTGTTTATTTTTTAAAAGGTTTTTTTTTTTCCTTTAACTTTGCTTCTTGTCTATCTCACACTATGTGTAGGTGAAATGTAGGATAAAGGCCTTCAATGTTTTGCTTCAGATGCCAGTTTAAAAAAAAAAACAAAGCAAACTTTCAAACAGTTCAGACTAGTACCGCTTTTTTTCTTCTTTTTTTTTTTCTTTTAACACTGATGAACCTGGATTTTCATTTTTCTTTCTTTCCTTCTCGCTCTCTCTTTCTTATTTTCCTTGGGTTTTTTTTTTAATACACACACATCATGCTGTTTCAGGGGTATCCTTTAGCTGCACTTGCAAGACTTTACGATCATGTTGGACAGCTGTTCGATTTTGGGTGTTTTGCCAATGTAGTAGAGGATAGTGAGGGGTTCCAAATCCTGGGACACGCAGCACGGAGAGGCAGAAGCTTCTGGATTTATGGTGTTATACAAGCTGAGTACCTAGAAGGAGAAAGGAAAAACGAGAGATTAAGACAGCTACCTCTGCCTTCCTGCCACTGCAGTGCAAATTCCTTTCTGCATTGCTTCCTCCCACAGCACCTGAGAGCAAGCCCACTGAAAGCAGTATGAAGATTCCCGGATTTTAGTATTTTTCATGCCTCTCCAGTTCAACCTGGTGTCACAACCTGCCTGAGTTTCCTAAGGTTTTATCCGTACAGTCTTAAACCTCAAAATAGGTACGTGCCTGGAGCCTGCCTTGAAAGCATAGCCCTTTGAATCAACATGCACACTGTATTGGTATGCAAAGAAGAAACAAAAGGTTTTTATCTGTGTCTTCAGATTGCCATTTGCTGTTACAGGATTTTGGCTTTACAAATGTACCAAAGGAAGAGAGCCCTTCAGAGCATAAGCACTCCTCTGCTTTTCTTCTCTGGCTACATCTCACTAAGTCCATTAATGTCACCCTGCAAGCACCAGGACTCAAGCTGCAGCTACTCCTGTTGAGAAACAGCTACGGTGAAGTTGGCAGTGCTGGTGCTTTATGTCACGTTGGATTCATATGCATGGTTCTCTGCAAGGGAAGTATGTAGGGTTACCCGCTGATGATGCATAGGTATTTCTGAGGATGCCATTAATGTGTTAGCCAAACACCAAGTGACCTTTTCCTAGAACTTCAACACAACATTTGCAGCTTAGAGAGACAGAAGATCTGTTCAGGACAGCAACACTAACTACTTTATTGAGCAATTTCTGACTCCTTGGGCAACTATCCAAACCACATATTTGTGACCATGACAGTTATTCTTCCTTTTTCCTTTAAAAACAAGTGCTGCTCCAAAACGTGTACACTACTACTCCACACCAGCACGGAAACATACTTACCTTATTTATACTTCTGCCTGCTGACATTGCTAACAGTACCATGACACAGCTGCTGACAGCTACTAAAGATACCTCTACCTGGGTCTGTGAGTTCAGGAAGAACACACTGTCATGGCTTTACAGACCAAAGGGAAAGGAAGCTGCCCCTTGGACACTAAGAGTTCTGCCTGCTGGCTAACACTGATCTGGTATTTTAAGGGAGACTTGAAAAAGGGGAGACATCATTCTTAGTATGGACCTGAGGGTGAAAATCTTACTTTATGACAACTGCGATGCAAACATCCACCTCTTACTGTCTAGACATCCTTATTGACAGTTGAGAGGAACAAGCACTTTACAGCAGAATACTACTCATCCTAAGGCAGTTGGCTAAAATAGCACATCTAATCCCTAAAATAAAAAGTCCCATCTCAGACAACTATCAGTCCTTTGGCATCCCAGACACAATGTTGCTCCTTCACATATAAATTTTCAAACTACAACAATGAATACATCTTTTGAAGTAAAAGAAGCACATCTATCAGTACATTTTCATGAAATTCAGGATGGTAGCATATCAGTTAACAACAAAAAATGAAAAATGGCAGGTCATAAAAGTAGGTGATAATCAGGTGGTACAACTCAGCCCTTTTGTTACTCTGATAGTGCCTCAGTGTCTTTGCCGACCGAACTAATTGTGCCATCTTCCACTTGTGCTCTGTAATGAAAGGTCCCTTCCCAGGCAGCCTCCCAAAGCTACACCAAGCTCATACTCATAAAAAACATTCAATCTATCTGTATGTCATATTGATGAACACATTAAAAGAAAAATCTCTGGGCCAACACATTCTTACTGCTTTAACACCAGCTTGAGGCCACGTGCGAGTCCCTCTATAGGGCTACATTTCATCATCGTTAGTTATTGAGATAATAAATACAAGCTTTGGGCATTCATGCTGATGTCAGTCCCAGAAACACATTTTACCCCACAGTTATAAAATAGAAGCTGAAAATTAGCAAAATCATTTCTTACCCTGCTGTGCTGAGTATCTGAGCTCCATAAATATGGGCAGGCTCCTGCACAGAAATTAGCATGATATCCTTTAGGTTCATGAATCCATTTCCAGCCAAGATCCCTCTTGAAGTCAATATAAAGAGGACGCAGACAGCAATTATCCTGCACGTTCCTGGGAAATAAAATACAGACAAACACATCGGTCATAACAAAGACAACACACGGAATAAAAATAATCTAGTTGCTTGCTCCCTGAATGATGTTTTACAGGAAGGCAAGTCCAAGTCCCAAAAATTCACAACCAAATCACATCAATAGTAGCTTATACTGTAGCTGAAATCAGGTGCTTAGACATGGCAGGACTTGCTTATACAGACAAAGCTAACGGTTTCCCTGGAGGACTAGTAAGTATTTTTCTCCAGGTGCTACTGAGTGGCCTCTCTGTGTAGGTGAGCACAGTGGAGGTGATAATTTGGCTGCAATTATGGGGTGATGGGTCTGGGAGTCATCCCAGATAGAACTCAGCTTCTGCTTTCTAAGGCCACAACCTTCCTCATCTGCCACTGTCTCTGTGAGACTGGAGACTATTGGGCAGATAACCTGCTGCACACAGACTCCGTGGGTCTGCAAATGAGGGTCCGTGCTCTGTATAAATGTCAACCTAAAGAAGCATGATAAGCAACTGCATTACACCTCACAGGCTGGTACTACTATATAAGTATACTGAATATGGATGCATAGTTACCTAAAACAATAGGCAGCATCTAGAGCACGCTTCTTCCGCCGACTGGGCTGTTGCGACTCAAGTCTGTAGGAGGGTAATAACATTAGCAGAAGATGTGGGGTCTTCCCACTGTATTTTTTCCTATTGGACTTTAAAGCTTTCACATCACCACTGGAATATGTGTAGTCATCAATACCTTCAAAAAATACATTTTGGTGATAAACATTGTGTTGCTTTTTCTTCACAAATTAAATAAACCATCTCTTTAAAAAAATTGGTGTCAGCTGAGCATGTTTACTGGGGAAGTGAGGGCAAATTTCAACCCAAGATCCCTAAGATATTCACAGTTCTCATGTTATCTATTATATCAGCCCTCCCACATTCACAGCCATTTAATGGCATTTCAGTACATTTACCAGAACTGTTGAAATGAGTAACAGAGATTACTTCAGTCACTGCATCTGCATTGCTTAGTTTCAAATGCCCCAAGCAGTGGTGCTTTTGTCACTACACTCAGGGCTGTATTCCCATCTTTTAACAGCTATGTACCTTTAAAAACCTTATAACACCAGTAAAGCTGCTCTGGATACTTCACCTGGATTTCCCACTGCTTCCACCTACCCCATTTGTTTTCTCTATCACATTTACCTCTTTCTAATGCTTGTAAATTCTCTGTCTCCCATTGCCAGTTTACTTAAGTCTTTTAATTTTTCCCAGAAAGTCAGTTGTTCTAGCCACTTCTTTTGCATGGGCATGGCAAGGACATTGATTAAAATACTTCTTGAAGCAGCAATCAATGACCTCATGTTTTGTATTTTCTCTTGAAAAACTAACTGCCTTACTAGCTTCTTATCGTGGCAACAGCACAGGCAAAAGACTCAAGGTATTAGCCTTTCCTAGGAGTCCAAACAGCTCATGTTATGCCTGTTGCTAAGATGCTTTTGAAAATTAACCAGATAATACTTGAACCAGATAATACTATCTAAAGAGAAAAAGATACACTTTTCTTTTCATAATGTTTGCAATTACAGCAACCAAATATCATACTAACAATTTTTTAAATACACACAATGGCTTTAATCATATGTACAGTACATGTATTTACTTAGAGAAAAAATTCCAATGCAGTGAAACAATGGTTAGAAAAACTTAATACTTGACAAGGAATATAGCCAAATCCTTGGAAAACAAATGAACCAAATCATGATGTACTTTAATAAATGAGAACTGTATAAACAGAATTTGGGTTGGTTCTAATATAGCCATAGTTTTGTATGTACTTGTGGATGATAACTATGGCACAGTCAATTAAATAATATTTCGCTTTTTGAAACTGAAAATTTAATGGCTTAAAAACACAAGGGAGCTTATATGACCTTGATACATTTACTCTGTATCATCTTGTCTGCTGTCCATAAGAAGTACATATATCCATAACCCTAACCACACACTGTTGTTTATTTTTTAATGCCCTCTCAATCCAATCTTTAAGTTTTTACCAAGCTGTCAGCATAAAAAATACTTTGTGTAACTAATATACAAATATGTTACAATCAAATCTACATGTCAATGTAGATATATAATCAATGTTAACTACTGTAGTTCTGTTGACTTCACCTGAGAATCAGACTTCCACTGCTGGAAGTAGCAGCAGATAGACAGGCAAACCATTGCTGTTTCTTCAACCCACAACACACTGGCAGTAAAACACTGTAGGACAAGTCTGTCACCTATTGTTCAGCTCTTCCCAAAGCGACTGATGCCATTGCTCAGAGTAATTTAAAATATTACTGATATGACCAGAAAAAAGAAAAAAGAAAACCACCAGAGTAGCTGGACATATTTAGTGTGCCTGAAAAGCTGGAAGTACGTGTGCAGGTACTTACAAAGACCCTCTATACACACTGAGGACAAAGGAAAATGCTTCTGTAAGCAAAGCAGCCAACTGTTGCCTTACCTATACTTTAGAAATTTGCCACAACAAGTATTGTTTAACACTTATAAAACACACTATGCTCACACACATATCTACTGCAAGCAGCTTACATCCTAACAGTCCTCAGCTGCAAACACCATCCTAATTCTACTTCCCAGCAGTAGCCTTCTCTGCTAAGCCTGAACCCTTACAGTGCTAGGATGGACAGCAGTCAAAGGGTTTATTTTGAAAATATTCAGCAAGTTTTCTCATGACTATGCAACAGTGCATGGCCTACTGTGCAACAGCCTTCCCTACATCCAAAATTGTATGTACATCCGGTGTGCATGCTGCAAACTGTAACACAGACACTTACGGGCACTGAAGCTGCACACGTGGAATGAGATGGCTTATTCATGCCATCTGGTTTTAGAGCAGTTCAGCTGATACAGTTTTACCCTTGTGCCTTCAATACCATTTCCTACCAGCTGAGAATCAAGATTCTCAAATGAGCAAGTTTTGAATCAGCTGAATACCATTTAGAGAGGCAGTAATGGCTCTTTGTTTCCCTCGTCAATTAATAAGTAACACAACATTTTAAAAAGTTTTTTTTTTCTTTCATTACCTGCAAATCTTGCTTCAAGCTCCTCACTTTTATTTGGGATGATATAATTATTGGAAGGCACGAAGGTGCAGCATGGACAATGTAAGCTTATCTTAAATCCAAGGTTCCTGTCTGTAAAACATAAAAGTAAGCAGAGTTTTACACATGGAATGACCCTGAAATACTGCTGAGTTAATGGAGGAGCAGTTGGGGCAGGTTTGAAGGCAAAGAGCACTTGTTGTCACCTCTGTGATGGAGCCACTCATGTACAGCCTCAGTGACATCAAAAGACAACCATTCTCCTTCAGCTCTTGTTTTAACTACTTTGCTGTCAATGTAGCGCTGTCCTGGTGATGATAATTCTTTAGATTTTAGAACCTGCAAGAAACAACAAATGTGATTGCCTACAGGTTAACATTTACTGTTTTTTATTAAAATGGACCACCAACATTATAAAATAGCAGAAGAAACTATTACGGCTTAAACCTCTATGCAGCAGATGTACATTCAGGCACGTTTTCAGAAAGAATTTTCTTAGGGTGTGTGGGGAGAGGAAGGTGATATAAAAACACCCTAATGAAATCAGCTTATGCTCCCAAGCAAAACATACCATCGCATATTCTTTCCTAAGAGAAATCACCCAGGAAGACTGCCTTGAAAATTTGTCCTGCAACACAAATGGTCAAGAGATCATAGTAACTGGAACACCAAAAGAGGCTATTTTACCTTCTTCCGTAATACTTACACTGGTTAGAGCATAATATCAGATGCTAAGGTAAAGCCTGTACAATGTAGTCTGTATACTGAAGATATTATATTGCTCACCCATAACTAATCTGTACGGTATTGCATTATTCATGCTTCCGGCCTTCCCTCTGACTTCAGGTACTAGTCATACATTAAACAGAAAAAAAGTTATCGTCCATACGGGTAGCCTGGGGGCATGCAGAGCTAACCTGCTGTGAATCATGGCCACACATGGATTTGTGCAACAAGCGATACTGCTTCCATCCAGACTTTGATGCCAGATGTATCTGCATTTGTGTCAAAAGTTTCAGCAAAGCTTGCTGCTGAGCATGCAATAAAAAAATACCTGTACAAAAGAAACCCAGCCCCTCCCTTTCAAGACACAGCACTACATGCCTAGAATTTCAAGTGCCCACAGTCTTCCTGCTACCTAAGCAACTCAGAGAGTGCCTTCCCACATACAAGCATAGCCTGCTATTATTTACCCTAACTCTAGGACGAAAACAACCGGACTTTTGGCTGCTAACAGGTTTCTGGTTTCCTGGTTATTACTATGTTGACAGTTTTGCGATGCAGGAAGCTGGAATGCCATGCAACATTGTCAACTCCAATCAAGATACCACACGATAACATCACTTTGTAACTTTTGGCATGCCAGCTGTGCGACTTCATATATTGTTTTGGGTTCTTTCTTTCTTTAACCATCCAAGTCCATCTCCAGACGAATAACTGACAATGTCTCATTGTTTCCTCCTATTTTCTCAGCCCAGACCAACCTGACATCTACCAAACACTGCTGGAATAAAAAAATGGTGAAACTGCGTAACACATGTAAAGACAAATATTTCAAGAGAGGTGTGAAATTATGTCATCATAATAATATTAGGCTTTTCATAATTAAATAGAAAAGCAGGCTTGAAAAGGCCAGATTCTGTCCAACATATAGAGTCTCCCTATTTATTTCAAGGGAGTGCCAGACCTCTCAAGGCCTACAGTGCATTTCCCACAATAACATTTGCCTTATGAGAAGAACAGCGGCATGACAAGCTCTTTGCCTTCTTTCTGATCGACACATTTAGCAAAAAGACATGAGAAGATGTTGGTCCAAGTCCAGAAAATTACTAAGTGCCCCTAGTAGGTGATGCTGAGTTCTCCAGTAGAAGCTGAGGGCACTCAAACATTGAACATTGGGACTCCTTCTTATGAGGCAACGTTCAAACAAAGTGTTTGAACAACTGTTTACAGAGAGTCTGGCAGCAGCAAGGGGACTACCACTGCTCAGAAGTGCCAGAGGGATGACAGAACCAGTAATCAATGCTGGGAAAGTCCCAGAGAAGTACAAATATAACTTTGCCTTCCCTTTGGTGTTTATCAGGTCAGCTCAAGTGTTTCTGAGGATGTAATGCAGCTGCCATTCTGCAAAGATGTGTTGGGGCGGGGGTGTGTGTGAGGCAAATGGGACATAAGAACTTGGCTCATTTCTCTTCCTTTCTGCACAGTCATATCTTTCCAAAGACTCCAGAAACTGCATACCTCAGTTTTGGCAGTGATGTAAGGATCTAAAAGTAAGTAATGTGCCAAAAGCAATCTCCTGATATTAACTATAATTGGTCTTAGATACGTTCTGAAGATTCAGCTGTGCCTTGGTAGCCAAAATAAAATGTCTTTATCCCAATCCCATTGCTACCAAAAGACACAGTCGAGGGCTGGGAGTGTGTACCTGGCATGAAAGGCATTTGTAAAAGTACAAGAAATCATCACTGCACGTATCCAGTGGTACAAAGAACATCTGTCCTCATTGATGAACTGAATGACAAGTGTTTGCAGGTTTCAAAACTGTAGGACACTGTGAGACAAGATGAACACTATGGATTGAAAGAGCAAGATATTATCCATGCTATGGTATCTATGATATCTGAAAGTAAGGCTTCTCTCTATGTTGTTTATGCTGCATGTTCAGGAAGAAAATTATGAAGAATAAGCTAAAAAGTCACAAACTAAGTATGTCATAACTTCCACTATTGACATCATAGGTTAAACAGGCACTAGTGGTTTTTAAGCAAAAGGCTGTTAAGTGTGATGAGTGCCATACTTAGTGAAACTAGTACATCTGCTTCAATCTCCTTCTCCTGGGCTGACTAAGTATCTTTAAAGCGTTAGGGTGATATATGATCTTAACAGCCTGATTGCCTGTAAGCAAGAATTACCTTCTGGCCTCACCATTTCCATTTTTTCCTTCTTTTTCTGTTAGATCATTGAAGTGTGGAAAGCTAACAGATATTAAAATCCTAGGTTGGATCCTCAGAGTCTATTTCCTCCCACAAAATAACTTGATGAAGGACTCTTCACTTCTTTTCCTACACTGCATTCTATATTTCCATCCACACTGAAGCAATTGCACTCTACATTGTGGTAAACAGAGTGGCCTCTTTGTAGGAACCTATCAGAAATTTTTACAGCTACAGTATGTTCTTCAAATGAGTCTTCCAGAAATTATTGCACGAGATAAGCATTTTACATTTTCTCTGCCAATTTCCCCCTTTGGTTTGCTTCTTTGTACTTTGCACTACATTTCTGGTCTTACCCTCCCCATCAGCAACACACCTTTTTCTTCCAATACACCCTTAAGCCTATATTCCCATTGAAAAACTTCTCTTTCAGTATTACCAATACTTTCTTCCCACTAGATCAACTAGTTTAGTTGCAAAAAAGAAGAAAAGCTTCCGTGCCTTGCAGCTTTTGTGCTTGAAAGCCTGTCTACTTCTTCCAACTATATGGATTGGTCTTAGAAAAGATATTACCTTTACCTATAAACATTGCCTTGCCTTGCCTATAAACACTGCCTTACCTTTATGCTCAGCCCATCGCAACCACATCAAACACTATTATCAGAAATGTTGCTGCACAACTTGTATCTGCAGGAGCTAAATAAAGGCGCAAAAAGTACGCCTTTGTGCAAAAGAGTTTTCAGTGCACTAAAAATATTAACAGAAGACATGGGAAAAAAAACCCAAACCAGCACTGGAGAGAAGGAATACTGAGTTAAACTTCCCCTTTAATCCTTCCTCATTTCCTTCTGGCAGCTTGTCTAAACACTCCCTCTTAAAGAGGCAGAAAGAGTTTGGTATATCTGCGGGTCATGACATGGATGGCTAGGGCTTTTGGGTTGGGGGGAGTACTGTGCATCACCACCTGTGTGTAGAGATGACAGATTCAATCACTTGCATGAGTAAGAGGCAGAGTTTCCACACACACAACCTCACCTCCCTCATGAGTGACACATGTAAACACCTGCATGCACAAGTGGCCGATGATGCACAACAACTGCATGTGTGCAGGTGTGAGCACGCACACCTTCACACACGTGTGAGTGAAAGCGCAAAATCAACAAACTCAAAATTCAGGTTGTGCAAAATCTCTGCAGCTCCTGAACATGGGGATGTTCTTCCAGGTGTATCTGTTTATTTGGTCTTGCTTTCAAAAGAGTGATAATGCAACACTGCCTTTTCTAACAAAAGATTATGCAAGGAACATATCTATATGATCACATTATGTGGGGATGAGCTGAATAGGTAGAAGTGTTACCAAAAGGTTATCCAGCAGACTTCTAGCTCAGTATGCAGAGTAATTTTCATTCAGTAGCAATGTTCTAAATTCTAAGAACAATTTGGTTTTGCCTACCCTCTTTTTGTTTGGGATTCCTCTCTTTCACAGGAAATCAAATAGTTAGCCAAAACACTTGTTAATCTTTTCTTGACAAAGTATCTTGTACACTTAAGCCCTGCCTTTCAGCTATCTTTTTCTATGGGCACTGCTAAGCTTCCCCTTATCAATTTTCTTTCTATTTTGACCTTTCTTAAAAACACCTGGGGAAAAAATTATCTTACAAGTACTCATGAAGGATCTCTAGATATCACATACATGCAGCTCCTGCCAGCAGATCAAGGCAAAACAAACATGTGAATATATGAATAATGCAGTTAATCGCAGGAAAGGGCTCATGTAGCAGCCAGATGCAAATAAAGCATTGCTTTTGCTTGTACAGCTACACGTATTTAGGAAGCCCAGTCGGGGATCTGGGTGACGACAGCACTCACATGCCACCCTCATCAGGCCTGCCAGATTTCTGGTATTTCATAAATCCTGTTGAAATCTACTCTTCATTGGTTCTGCGATGGCATTCTGCTCAGTCTTCAGGGGGAGACCCTTTGCTCTGCTGGCAGGGATTTGTCTGTGCTCCTTCTCCTCCATTAGAGGAGGCTGGACGATGATGCCATCTTGGAAGTGTACCCCAAATCGCCATGACCATGGCACTCAGCAGTGAAAACCTTTAGTTTTATCACGAACTGGTTTCAGAAGAATGACAAGCGAGTTTCCAGAAAATACTGATCTCTAAATTACTTCTGCCACCTGCTATGCTTATTTTTCAGATCAACTGGAGAGCATTAACTGATATATTTTTTTAAAATTTAAGTATCAAGTAGCTGAAATCTTCAATAAAATACTGGAGGATGAAACTATTTATTTATATGCACACATGTTTATACTCTCAAGTAACTATCACACAGTTCTGAGTATAAAAGTAAGGACAAGGATTGTCTTAGTCTGTGTTTTGTAAACTGTAAAGTACA